GTTCTGATTCCACTCGAAGAGAAATTTAAAGAACACGTGATAAAATGTATTTCATTGGATCGGGCGACGACGAGACGGTGTGCCGCGGTGGTGAAAGATTTTTCTCGAATGCGCGTTCTCAAATCTACTTCTAGTATACTTCAGCAACATCGCCTTACTTTAGAAACAGTTTCGCGATCGCAAGAACGAGTCGGCGTTTCGTAAGATCCGAGTGTCGCCTAGAAAAGATAGAGACATTGTTGTTTCTGCGCGATGTTTGGGCAAGGCGAAGTTTCCGAGAGTGCCGGGGACGCTCAATACCGTCGGGACGGGGAAGCGTGAGGATGGTGGCAAACGACTCCGAAGCATATTGAAGTCTACATTGAGGTATTCGCCGCCCCTTGTGGATTTTCGGCAGCGTATCCCGCGCCCATTGTTGGGTCACGCTTGACAGTCGTGCGACGGCCAACGAAGCCAAAACAGAGATTCTCGGGGGAGCACCCGGATCGCAAAGGAACTGTCACCCCGCCCGAACTTCCTGCAATGTCGCTTTAGAAAGCCCCCCCGAAAAGCAATTTATCTTGAGAGAGACCGGCGGAGCGACGTTAAATGGATTTTCCTCTTTCAGGGGTATTACGCGTTTTTATTCAACGTGAAATTAGCTTATAGACGCGTCCTTCGCACCCGGCCGTGAGTGAATCGTCTTGGAGAGAAGACTGTTGGAAGGAGAGCGGACTCCTCTCGACGACGTCGTAATCCCCCCCGCCGAATTTCTCTCGTCGACGAGACGCATTGTCTTTCACGCGGAGTCAATCGCGATGATCGACACGCGATGCCGCGCCGCCAGTTATGCTTTTATCGCGCGAATCGCCGACGGTAGCGTAATGACGAGTGGGGGCGTGAATAAATTACTTAGCAGCTTGTTTAAAAATCTCACGATGTAAACAATCGCCGGCTCCGGCGAGAGATAGCGAGGGGGTAGATTACGACTTCCTGTTACCTATCATTCGTGGTATGTGCCACCATAATGCGTCGCGCTCACACACCGCTTAGGGACGGGCTGGTCAGGGTCCCGACAGTAGATAACGTCGTCGTATCAACGCGAACGCTGCACGCTCCAGGTGCACTCTGCGCGCTTTTGAGGTTCTCATAATAATAATGCGTGTCAGCTTCGACCGCGCAGCTCGCCGTTCGTTCGAGTTTCGTAAACATGCCCGGGAGAAATTCACGATGAATCGCACGAAGCGGATATGTATAATTATATATGAGGTAGTCTCGTGTTTTCTCGTACCTCCTTCCCTTTTGGATAATGTGACGTTTAGGTCGTTGTTTTCCGCGCGCAACGTACTCTTGTCAAAGACACGCGACAATGCTTCTCTGGACGATGTGTGACGAAATTGTGGCGGACGTTCGTCGCGTCGTCGAGCAGAGCGCACAAAAGAGTGTTTGCTTTTGGAAGAAATATGGTCTTGTTGAGTCTGCGTTCTTCGTTTTGGGCGTGGAATAAAATTAGTATAAATTAAGTGCTTTCCAAACGAGACTCCCCGTGGAACCCTCGTCATATGTGCGTTAGCTAGAGATGTTTCTTTTTTGAGTGCCACCGCCCACAAATTGATATTAGGGTCAAGTGACCAAGTTCGTTCGTTCGTTCGTTCGCTCGCTCGCTCGCTCGTTCGTTTCCCGCTGGTCGACTTCGTCGAGAGGAGGGGAGAAGGGGGAGGAGAAGAGAGAGACGGAGGAAGAGAAGGACGACCAAGGATACCATCCAGGCGATATACATGGACTCTCCGGGGGTCTGTCGGCCATTTTCAGGACATAGTCTCTCACACATGTCTCTCTCTTGAAAGTTACAGCGCGCGACTTTTTGGCCTGTGTCTCGAGACAGCAACTTCCTTTCCATTGTTCGCTTCTGGAGAGCGTACGATCATCCCTGCATGATATGCTCCGCAAAAGTTTACAAACATTGTAACACGATCACTCCCTCGAACACACACGTCGCCGCGAACAGTCGCGACTTGGATTGAACTGCAGTTACACAGAATGTCCAGTAAATCGTAGGACAAATCGTTTCCTCTCCTCCAGCGAGGAAACAATTTTTCGCGAATGAACAAGCCGCTGCCGGATGAATTTTCTGTTTTTCTTCTCTTTTCCAGGTAACTCACCTCCTCGGACAATGGCTGCGTTCAGCAGAGAAAGTTGCCTTGCAACTGGTTGTGAAGTTCGTGAATCTGATTAGTGTATGTTCTTAGATTCAGCCTAAGAAGCATCGCATCCACGAATTTAGCAACGGTTGCAAGACAGCTTCCTCTGCTGAACGTAGCTAACGTCTACGAACAAGTCGCAGTTCGATGTTGCGAGACGACTGTGTCGGAAAGTACTTTTTCACATTCTGTATGCTCGTCCTGAACGCTGCGTGCGCGTTTACTCGGACAATTTCTGTATAGCGAGAGCAAATTCTCGTGTCTACTGGGG